GTTCATCATTAAAACAGATAATCAAGTTGTTGCACAGTTTCTCAAGAAAAAGACAAATTATCTAATACAGAAAAATGTGCACAAAATTAGATGGTCCATGGAATTAGAAAACTATACTTATACGGTTCATTATATTCCTGGATTTACTAATATATGTGATGATTATCTCTCCAGCATGGCTTGTTCATCCAAGCAGCCGCCGAATAAAGATAAGGGCAAAATGCATGCACCTACTCCCCCTCAAATAGAGGTAAAGAAGAAAGGTAATGAAACTAAACTCTCACTACATCTAGAAATAGCTGAAGCCCTAAATGAAAATTTAGGACCAGAAATAAAAAGAAGGGATATTCTAATAATATCTCGATTTCTTACTAATCCTGGTAGCTTTGGAATTAAAGGATATGATGAAGCTATGAAATCTCTTTGCTCCATCATGAACTTTGACGAAGCTGCTAGTGGAAAAAGATACACTCATGAATTAGCTGAATTTATAAAGATGCTGAAAAATGCCACTCTCCCACTTTGAAAATCAACTTTTTAAAAGCCACTTTGAAAAAATAAAGTCGGCCTTTTTATAATATTACTTTGTAAGAAGAAAGTTGGCTACTTTATAAAGTTATGTAGAGTTACTTTGTAAAAATTGAGTCGGTTGTGAGTCTATAAGTAAGGAGGTCCAGAGTCATGTAAGATGATCGAAAATTAGAAAGCATTGGAAGTGTTCCTCTTGAAAATTAGTGTCTAGGTTGAAGTAGTATCAGAGCCAAGTGAGAGCCAAGTGCCCCCGATCGTCGTAAAGTCCTGTAATATATATTCTGTAAGTGTTTATCTTAAATAATATGAAGTTCCAATTTATTTCATTCTCCAATTTCTTTCTCAATTATGTAGTTCAAATTTTGTTATTCTGTTTTATGTTTATTCTACTTATCAAGCTACGCCTAGAGGTAGGAAACGAAACTAGGTTGTGCTCTCTCTCTCTCTCTCTCTCTCTCTCTCTCTCTCTCTCTCTCTCTCTCTCTCTGAAGCATCATGCTAGGATTGTGTCATAAGGTTGTGGTAGAAACAACACCTAGGTTGCTAGGTTCGAGTCCTTACTCTAGAGAGAAAGCCACCTCCAGGGGGTATGTGTTGAGCTGGAGAGAAAAGGGTCAAAACCTTGATAAGTAAAATAAATAATAAACATATATAATAGAAGGAGAATCCCATAATAGGAGATAGAAAAAGGAGAAGGAAAAATAAAAAGAAAATTTTGTCTAGAACAATTTTAGAATCCTGCAAGCTAAGAACTGAGCCCAAAAGCTACAAGCACTTATTACATATGCCCAAAGACTCTACCGAGTCACATACTATGCAGGATTTAACGTCTATGTTAAATTCTGAAATAGATATGGTGTATCCTATAGAGGAAATAAACACAAATATTCTTAATCTTCAAAAACAAATTGAAGAACTAAAACCAAAGAATAAAAGTCCAGAACCTAGTGAGAGACCATTTAGGAAATTCCACTGGACTAGCAATTTAAATATGATGATGAAAACGAAGGGTCTGTCAGATATCCTTCAACCCTAAACACTAGATTCCTCAAATAAAGTTGTGTTGAGACAACAAATACAAACTTTAACACAACAAGTTAGGAATCTCCAAATAGAATTTGCTGCTTTACAGTAAGCAAACGAACTGTTAGAAAATAATATTTCCTTATTAAACTATTATTCTAATGAAAGTCAAGAAGACTCAACATCAGAATTGAGTGAACATGAAGATTCTTTAATCATAAAAATGGCAACAGAAACAGAACCATTGACTCTTACAAATATATAATAGTGTTTATGGAGGAATTTGGTATTAAAAATACTTGTTTTTTATAAACATCATGCCGATGAGGTTTGGGAATGACCATTTTTAGCCATTCTATATCCTCATCAAAAATAGAGAATCTCACTTCTTGGAGGTCATGTATATCAGTCTCAGAAGACTCTATGTCTTCTCCTGATATACTGGAAGATTCTTTATTCATCATATATATTTGAGGAAAATCAATTTCCTCATCACTTTCTGATTTTGTAACTAATTCATAATATGAATTGTCAGAATCAAACTGAAGTTGACTTATTTCTATAAGATCTAAATCAAATTCATTTATGTCCTCTATAATTATTTCATTGGTTTGCTTTTTCTTAGGACATTCATTTGCATAATGGGCAACTTCTTGGCATATAAAATATTTGCATGTCTTTTTTGACGCTCGGGTTTTACTATGTATTTTTTCTTTTTTACAATTTCCCCATTTTTAGACCAATTATGTCGTTTGGAAAATTTTATTTTCCTAAACTTATATGGTCTCTGAAACTTCTTTTTATAAGGTTTTCGCTTTCTATATGGTTTGGAACAACCATATTCTAACGGATGTCCTTGGATCTTATCACAGCAGGCTTGTCCAAAGGCACTATCCTTTAATTGGCTTTTAGTTTGCTTAAAAGCTTTGGATAAATGACAATACTGGTCTAATTGTCTTATTATGAAAATTTGAACAACACCACTCAACCTCTTTTCTTGAGGGACTTTCTTTAGATAAGATTCTTCTAAAAGAACATCCTATGGTCTAGATAATTTTTTGAAGATATTTTCTGTCCATCAATTCATTCTTTGCTTGGTTTCAAGCCTATAAACTAGTTTAAAGTAGTCAATTAGAAATTTTTCTACATAACAGATCTGACATAGTCTCATTTGTAGGAGTTTTCTCTCTATATCAGGATCTATTCAATCCATAATAATGGGGAAATGGTAATTAAAGATTTTACTATCCTTTATCTCCCACGCTTGGTGTTCAAGGAACGAGAGCTGCAAGAAAAGTTCGAAGAAGAAATGACCTTGGTCCGTGATCTACAAAACATGCTATATCTACTACTTCTTCAAATCATGTAGAGATAATTGCAATTCATGAGGCAATTCAAGAATGTGTTTGGATAAGATTGATGACTTAACACATTCAAGAATCATGTGCCTCAACTTCCGAGAAAGAAACTCCAACAATGCTCTATGAAGATAACATTGCAATGCATACTTGAGCTAAAAAGTGAATACATCAAAGGAGGTAGAATGAAATACATATCACCAAAGTTTTTTTTCACATATGATCTTTAGAAAAATGGTGATATTTATGTTTAACAAATCTGTTTAAGCGATAATCTAACATATTTATTCACCAACATGTTACGTATTGCAACATTTGAGAAGTTGGTGCACAATATTGGAATGGCTCAGCTAAGGGATCTTTAAATGGTGTTTCTATTAGGAGAAATTGTTACAAGATGATGGATTATTTTTTCTTCAAAAGGATTTTTTTCCTCAATGAGTTCTTTTCCTAGTAAGGTTTTAACGAGACATATTCCTTGTTGAATGTACATTCAAGGGGAAGTGTTATGAAATGAATGTCCATAGACTCATATAGCGACATATCAATTTAATATTTGTCACTATATATTGATTGACCCTAAAATTACTCATGGCAATTTGCACATGGTTTTTTAACCATGAATTGATTATCTAATTAATTCCTTGATTATTGTCATACATGGATACCTTATTTGGAAATTCAAGTTGTATACAAACAGAGTACAATAAATGACACAAGAAAATAAGAGAAAATCTCTCTCTAATTTCATATCTCAAATCTCTTGGCTCTCTGGTTTTGCTCTTTTGTTAGTTATTTTACAATACAGCTTTAATAATTCAGCCTTTGAATTATGGGGTCAACTTTAATAGGAGAATTTTTTTAAAAAGACTATTTTTGAAACTTTATCAGCAAAATCGATATATTTTTGATATAATTAGCAAAATCGATTCTTTTTGGCCAAAAAGAGATTGATTTTGCAAAAATGAAGTTTTACAATACACGGGACTACTCGTCCCGTGTATTAAGTGGTGCTTAATTACACCCTAATAAAGTTTAATTAGTCTCATGTATTTTTTAAGTTTAATTAGCATGTGATTAGCCAACACTAATTACACGAAACTACTAGTCCATTGTATTGTAAAAACTATATTTTACAAAATCAACAAAAGAGGTCGATTTTGCTAATTAAATCCACAAAAGGTTGATTTTGCTGACAAAGTTTTAAGAACGGTCTGTTTTAAGGGGCTGTTTGGTTCGTTTCCTTGATATAGGGAAATGCAATTCCATATAAAGAAATATAAGTTTTGAGTTTTCCAAACTTTTCCAAGAAATAGATTGTTTTGCTTTGGTTCGCACATAAAAAATGGTGAGAAACCAATGTATTTATTTTTCTTGTGTTTGGTTCGCATAGAAAAAAAAGGAAAACTTTTGTAAACAAAGCAAAGAAGGAAAAAAAATCTGACGTGACAGAGTTTTCATCAATTTCACTCGGTTGGGGAAGGAAATCGGAGAGGGAAAAAAAATCTGAGCTGGCGGCGATTTCAGCAGAGTTTTCCCTTTTCCATCCGAGCGAACCAAAGCGGCACAAAGAAATGGATGGAAACAAAAAAACTGACGTGGAGGGCTAAAAATCTGACGTGGAGGGGTTTTCTGAGTTTTCCACCCCTTATAATAGCGAACCAAACAGCCCCTAAAAAAATCCACTTTATTACTTTCTGATGTAGAATGGACAAAAATATGAGGTCAATTTCATGTGGAATAGCCCAATAACCAACAAAAATATGGACAAATTTTCAAAACAGATCTGTATTGAATTTTATTTCCAAAAACAGACATGTTTCTAACTTAATTTAAAAAACCGACCCAGTTGATTAAAACTAGATCGGTTTTTGAAAAAAAAAATTCACAAACTTCACGGGAGTTTAACTCCCTTGAAGTTTTGTTAGAGTTCAACTCCCATGAAGTTTGTGAACTTTTCTTTTTCAAAAAACGATCTAGTTTCAGTCAGCTAGGTCGGTTTTTAAAATTAAGTTAGAAACATATTTTTAGGAATAAATTTCAAATATATGTTCAGAAGCTATCGATGTCCTTCGTCTTTGTTCAGCAAAAATTAACAACGGACCGAACAAAAATTCCCCTTTTTGCTCTTCGCCGATTCAGCCTAAAAGAAAAGAAAAGAAAAAAAAAATCATTAAGCTTTTTATTATTCAAATCGATTCTCAATACCTCTTATGGATCTTATCCCAGCTGTCATCTGTTTGTAATTACTTTCTGACATCGCCCATTTTCTCCCCCAAATTTTGTTATCGTTTGAATCTTCGAATGGGGTGTTGTAGTAGCACGAATGGTGATTCTAGAGCTGCTCGTGTCGCTCGATGGAGATCCACCGGCATCGTTGCCCTCAGAGATTTTAAGTTGAAGGTATCATCAATTTATTTTCCTGGTTCCCAACTTGAAATTAGGATTGCCGATTTTAATTTTCATTTGATGCTTATTTGATATCAACTTATGTGGTCATTAGAAGTCAGTAGCAACTATAGGGATTCCATGTTGATTGGACTCGTGGCGTGGATTGCCGGCTGGCTTCTCTAATTTGGTCAACGTTCATTTGTTGAAACAAGAATATCAAGGGATGCAGGAAATTGGAAATGGTTTATCGTAATAAGATCGAATTCACTTCACTAAAACTCCGAAGTTGTGATGAGGGCTGAGGATAACAGAGGAGGGTTGTAGGTCTATAGTCTAACAGGGTAGTTTCTTATTTTGAATTGAAATTCATATTCATAGAATGGCTAAAAGGCCAATTTGGTCCTCATACTGGGGCTAACCCCTCATACTGGGGCCAATTTGGTCCTCATACTGGGGCCAGTTTGGTCCTCATACTGGGGCTAATCCTCTTGGATAGCTTGAGTGGTCTCATGTGGATTTACATTCTAAGGTGTTCTTGACTCCAAATTTACCAAAGCAGAGGTTAAAGTGGCAGTGAAGAAAAGACCCCTCTTTTACGTTTAGTTAGTTTGTGTATCTTGTATGCAATGACTAAAATAATTTCAATTGTGCTAATTGTATATCATAATGCTAGTCGTGTCAGCATCAATATGCTTCTAATGTTCTATATGCTTGTGCTGAGAGTATTCTGGACATGAAGCATAATACATCACACCATCTGAAGGAATTCGCCAATATTTAGCTTTTAACTGCAAGATCATATCCACTGTTATAAATAGCGGTAAATAGCCCCGCAATAGCGGTGCTAATAGCATTAGCGGTCCCTTCCCGCTACGTTATCGCGCAATAGGGGTGACATATTGGGGAATATGCGCTTTTTGTTTGCAAAAGCGGTCAATAGTGTACTATAACGGTAAATAGTGGGCGATTGCATGCGAAATCCACTTTTTGACTGCTATTTAAAAGCGGTTTGTGGTTTATTTTTTTTAAATTAAATCCGACCCTTGACCATTGCATTCCACCGTCTCCTGTGATTTTCAGCATATTCCTGCCACCTCTCTTAGATTCTGGCACCTACCTCAATACTTTCTCTCACCTCCTTCACCGTGCGCTCCTCTTAGGCCAGTCCTCTCACCGCTCAGCTCTTCTTCTCGAAGACGACGACTCTTTGACTCTTCCAGTCGTCTTCGGTATTACGTGATGGTTACATGTCTATTTCATGTTTAGGATCTCTTTAAATCATCAAATATGTACTTTTAAATTTTTTAAGATTTTTTAATCTTTTTTTTAGTATTTATACATATCTAAATTAGACCGCTATTTGACTTTGCGTTTTTTACCACTATTTTGTCGCAATAGTCCCAAATAGCCTTAGTGATGCCTCGTCGCTACGCGACGCTATCCGCTATCGATAACCTTGATCACATCACACAACTCATAAACAGTTGCAGAAGAATCAAGAATGATGCCAACATTAAGTTCAACAAAATCAGAGCAAAAATAAATACTTTTTCCCATTAGGCTGCCTGGAAGAACAAGTTGCACTGAGAGAAATTGTTGACAAATTCTGCAACAATGCTACATGGGAGCACCTTATCCCTTAAAATAATTTGGTGGTACTATTGAAATCCAGTATGGTTGTTTGTGTGACGACTTCATCAAATGTACTTGCAAGCAGTAGAAAAATAGTGTCAATGAAATGTACCTATGAAGGTAAGAAATCAAAATATGCTGCCGGTCGTAAGGACAAAATATAGTGTTGACTATATAATATCATAGAAATATCAGTAGCGAGAATCAACCTAGTTTCGTTTGACAGCGTTGATATTTTTTATCGAGTTCAGAAAAAATAACTGCAATGGTGAATGGTTGTTTTTGCAAGAAGAGAAGGTCAGCACTCAAAATCATAATGCACTAATTCTTGCTAGGAATAAATACAGCCATCTTTTTAATGGCATAATTGTAGTTAGTTTGAATTGTTACGGACATGTACGCTGAGCAAAATGACGCTCGAAATCACAATGTACTAGTTCTTGCTAGGAATAAATACAGCCATCTTTTTAATGGCATACTTGTAGCTAGTTTGAATCGTCATGGACATGTACACTGAGCAAAATGACCATGAATAGGTCAGTTGTATTTTCTTTTCTTTCTACAACTTCTTATAAGCCTTGCTTTAATTCAGTTTGTTGAGCCAACACATAACTTTAAACGGGTCTTAAGTTCTTTTCACCATTAGGATTCTTTAATATTTACTGATAAATACAGAATGTCCTTTTTTTTTCTTTTGTTGGTGTGTGACCAAGCATTCCAGTGTATACCTGAAACTGATCCCCCCTCTGCACTACCTGAGCACCTCAAGGGAAAGAATTCTGACTTCCTAAAGCCCCATGCAAAGAATTATGCTCTCTTTAATTTCATTGAGGTTTAATACGGTCATAAATAAAAAATTAACACCCAACTTTTAACGGACATTAAAAAAAGTCTTAATTTGTAACCGAGGTGTGGTATGGGGACTACGTTGAGAAAAAAGATAATACAAAGATCAGTTTGTGAATGAAGCTTCAGTACAGGTACCAAATTGGCCTTTTTAACCTTATAAATTCTGTTTGGTTTCAATTAAAGTTCATATTTTTTGGATGCCCAAAATCATGTTTCTCTTTACATATTCTTCATATTTTTTGTCAAAGTGAACATAGTTTAATTGCAAGTTTGTTTCCTGTATGCACTTAGTTCTGTGCTATACAAAATTCATCTCCTAATAATTTATTAATCGGGCCTTCTCTATTTCCTTTGTCTATTTCCTTCGTGATATATGACTTGAATCTGGTTTAGAAAAGGTAAAAAACATCCTTACAGGATAATACTATCCACTTTGTCCACTAGTTGCATGTAGTTTGCTAAGAACCAGGTAACAGGATCATTGGAAAAGTACTCTCTCAAAACATTGATTTTCTGCACTACTAAACTTACCACACAACAAAAACCCTCACTTCATTTATTATTTTTAGTTCAAGTATTGCTTCTAATATGGAATGTTTTATTGTTTTCATTGCCATTGTTTTAAATATCGGCCGATAATCGATATTATCGGCCGAGTTATCGGATTTGGGAGCTCTCCGCTAGGATAAATTGGATTTTTAATCGGTTATAGTTTTTCTAGGTTTATCGGTGATTTATCGGCGTTATCGGCACTTATCGGCCGATAAGTAAGACTTTTTTATCGGGATTATCGGGATTATCGGCCCATTTTAACTAACATTATATTTTTTTTCAAGGCTATGATGCAAGTTTCGCTTTCTACAATTGGTTAATGATTCTAAACATGATGATTTACATTTTGGTATGTTTATATTTTATTAAGCATGATTAGATTACATTTTTTAATTGTTATATTATATATACACATCATCCAGTATATCACTCCGATAAATACTACTTATCCCCGATATATCCCCGATTTCCGCTATCCGATAAGGATTTTGGCCGTCCGATAAATCCCTGATAACCGATATTTAAAACCTTGTTCATTGCTCATTGATTCCCTTGTTGTGAGATAAAAAGAACAAACAATGCTCAGCTTCTTTTGATTTTGTGTTGCATGAGCAGGTGCTACCAGGTGAAATTTTTGAGGTGGGTAGTTCTGTGCGTACACTTGATTTAACCAACAATAAAATAGGTAAGTTGTAAATCTCTGTAAATTTTGAATTCTGATTTTTTTACTGTAATTATAATTTTTTGGTAAAAATCAACAAAAAACTTTGTTCTTATACCTTATAACAGTAGCAACTTACTAGAAATTTATTACAATATAACTGATGATTATTTCAAAAATTTTTAATCATGTTTAGTTTAGTAAGTAACTTCATGAGTAATATGTTGCATTGCTCTTGTGCGATAAACGAACATAAAAATCACTATAAGATAGACAGGGTCGATGTATTGAACATATGAGTTAGAACTTACTATCAATTTGACAAGTTTGACCCCTAGCTGCTAACTGCCTTCAAATATCAAAATCAGTAAGTTTCATATTTTTATGTGATTTTTTATTGGTAAAATGTGTGTGGGGCTTGGCAGAACAACTTGGGAATTTATTTTCATTAAATTCTGTGGGTGTATACTATGGCACAGAGGCATGGAATCCCTATAGCAGAACTTATCATCCTGATCCTCCATTCTCTAGTAACACTATCAGTATATGCCACTATCCATGTCATGTAAGATAAATTGCACGAATAGGATCGCCTTCTTTCCAAGCAGTCTTCATGTTTCTAAAGTGAGCCCTCACCTGTAAATAGTTTTCTCAGCCAAAAGTTTGGTGCCTGACTCAGTTTTCTCTCCTGTTATGAATCTCTCTCATTGGGGGCTTTTAGATGACTCAATAACCAACATGATTTTCAAGGGGAAACTTTTAGATGAGAATGACACTGACAATGACAGTGATTCGTCCACATATCATGATCAGGTTGTTTTGACTTAGTTCAGAATGTGAAGTGATTAATTACATACATTTGAATACGCTTTAAACCTTAATATATTTGTATGTAAGGTTTAATTTCTTTTACTTTTTGAGTAATCATTTTGTTTAGGGAGCAAATTTAGAAGTATTACTGGCATTTCAATGACATTCATGCTTGCAAAGACCTACCAGTGTTGATTAATGACAAACCTGGTTACTTGGCAAATGTTAGATGTTTTCTCAAATAGGTGAAGAGTATGATAAGGTGAGTTACACAGATACGAGTATGGGTGCTGATGCGTGTACGCGTATGGGACATGGCAAATTTGTGAAAAATAAGGTATGAGGACACAACCACACAAACATGTGTATGTAATAATAATTAGCTTGGAAAAGGTATGGACGAGATGGATAAATGGATAATCAGATAGAATGCCGATCATCCTAAGGATATAATGCTAATCATTCTAAGGATACAAATATCACCACCTTAGAATAAAAGATGGATAATGAGGTTAGCCAACCGATCTCGAGATATAGATATCACCACTTTGGATAGAAACAATGAATCACCACTCCAAGGACCCTAGCTTAGAGATATAGATAAGTATTTCATCACTATAGGATACAGGAAGCTCCATTACCTAGAGATAGAGAACAAATGAAAACTCACCACTCTAAAAAATCCACCACGGGTATACAGAGTTAAATAGATAACAAGCAAGCTAAAAGCTTAAACTTAGAATTCATATATCATCAAAAGCTGTTGATTACAATTTGAGTCTAGGTACTTATGATCTAGCATGGAAAACCCTCCAAGCATATGAGCAATAAAAGAAAAGCTAAATTCATCATTTTTGACTGCTCTAACAACAAGTGTCTAGAAAGACTAGATATTAAATGCAATTTTCGATTTTGAAGAGGTTGCATGTATCTAGATACAAGAGAGCATTAATTTTGTTTAGAAACCCTTAAAATCCACTTTCTCCTATGCATGGAAACTTCTATTCATTAATTTGCCTAAGGATCATCAATTGCTGCCATTGACTTGCAATAACTCACCATTTGCACTTTAAATTCTACAACATCATAATTCTGATTATATCTCAAGCAAGTATCCATGAAGGCTTGGAACATGTAACTTGGGCTGGGCTTTTGTCTTTATCTACATTAACTCCTCTGTCAATTTCCCCCAGGTGATAAAGAGTTCTCAAGTCTGATCCATCATCATCTTTGTGATATGGTGAAAAATCAACAATATTAAATGTTGTGGAAACACTATAATCATTTAGAAGTTCAATATTATATGTATACAAGTTGTTTTGAGTCAGCACTTCAGAAACTTGACTAGTATGTCTCATATGTTTCTTATGGTCTCTAATATAGATGAGAATAGTAGTCAAATTTGGAGAATGTGTTGCATAATGCATTTGCTCATCAACTTGTTGCAGCAACTCCTCTCGTTCATTGAAACTAATGTGATAGGTGAGATAATTTTGAAAAACATCGCATACAAGATTAGTAGAATGTTATATATCTTTAATAAGTGGAATGTGGATGAGAATCTCCTTTGAGAAATCTTGGATATCTTGAATCAGAGATTTCATCACCAGCGAAACTTCATTGTCTTCTCCATTCCCCTCCACAACCATCACTACAAAGGCCTGAGTGTGTTCCTCTAATTCTCATTCAAACTCATATTTCAAAAGAAATGCATTTCTCAAAGCATAATAGGAGCTTCACTATGATCTTCGCAAATCATATCTTTTGTTGGATCTTCATCAAAGATATGCAGTGAGTCATCGTCAAAGATGGGCCCTCTAGGATTTCATAAATGATATTTTCTGCGTGATCTTCATAAAAAAGGGATGGCGATTCATGATCAAACAGAGATCGTGAGTCATCATCAAAGATCGGTGGCTCGCCATGATCGTCATAAAAGATATCATTTATTTGATCCTCATCAAAGATGAAAGGTAACTCCTTAGGTGAATCCTGAAAGCCCTCTTGCTCTTATTGTTTGAGTTGTTTATCCTTTTGTTGGAGCTTCTGAAATTATTGTTTGAGAATCTAGTGTTGGCGGCGCGTTTCTTCAAGAAAAAAAACACTTCGTTCACGTGGAGTCATTGTGAAGAAGAAATTTGAGATTTAGCTCTGATACCAAATTATGCGGAAAATATATATAGCAGTCAAATTTAGAGAATGTGTTGCACATTGCATATGCACATCAACTTGTTGTAGCAACTGCTTGTTCCTTGAAACTAATGTGATAGGTGAGATAATTTTGAAAAACAATATCGCATTTAAGATTTGTAGAATGTTGTATCTTTTTAATAAATGGAATGCCAACTAGAATCTCTTTTGTGACATCTTGGATATTTTGAACAAGAGACTTCATCACTAGCAGAATTTCATTGTATTCTCTATTTTCCTTAACAACCATGAATGCAAAGATTTGAGTGTGTTCCTCTACTTCTCGTTCAAACTCGTATTTCTAAAGAAACCCATTGAAACTTTCATGCATAGTAGGAGCTTTACCATGATGTTTGCAAATTATATTTTTTGTTGGATCTTTATCAAAGATAGGCAGTGAATCGTTATCAAAGATGGGTGCCCCTCTAGAATCTTTATAAATGATATTTTCTACATGATCTTCATCAAAAATGGATGGTGAGTTATGATTAAACAGAGGTTGTGAGTCATCATCAAAGATCGGTGGCTCGCCATTATCAATATAAAAGATATCATCTATTGGGTCCTTATCAGAGATGAGAGGTAACTTCTCAGTTGAATCTTGAGAATGAGAGGCTGGTTGAAATCCATCTTGCTCCTCTTGTTGTTTGAGTTGTTTATCCTTTCGTTTGATCTTCTGAGATTGTTGTTGGGTTTCTAGAGTTGGCAGAACATATCTTGTATCTTAAGAAAATAAACACCTCATTCGCGTGGAGGCATTATCAAGAAGAAATTTGAGTCTGAGCTCAAAGCTCGTTTCCGCAACAAGTCGATGAGCATATGAGACTTGCAATAGATTCTCCAAATTTGACTATTCTCATCTATATCAGAGACCATGAGAAACATGAGGCATACTTGCTAAGTTTCTGAAGTACTGCCTCAAAACAGCGAGTATGCATAGAGTATCAAACTTTTAAATTGTTATAGTGTTTCCACAACCTTTAATATCACTGATCATTCACTATATCATAAAGATGCGGATGAATTAGACTTGAGGACAAGTCTTCATCAATTGGGGGAGACTGACATAGGGGCTAATGTAGACCAAGACAAAAGCCCAACCCAAGTTACAGCCCCGATCCAAACGTTTGTGGATAGTTGCTCGAAGCATAATTAAAATTATGGTGTTGTAGAATTTAAAATACAAATGGTGACTTATTGCAAGTCAATGGCAGCAATTAGAGATTCCTATGCTAAGTAATAAATAGAAGTTTCTGTGCATTGGAAGAGGTAGATTTTGACGGTTTTCAAACATAATTAATACTATCTTGTGTCTAGGCACATACAGCCTCTTCAGATTCTGAAATTGTATTTAATATCTAATCTTTCTAGTCTCTTGTTGTTATTGTAGTAAAAAAAACGTATTTAGCTTTTATTTTACTTTTCCTATGTCTAAAGGGTTGTTCCAAGTAAGAGTATAAGCACCTAAACTCCAATTGTAATCAGTAGCTTTTGATATATGAATTTTGAGTTTAAGTTTTTAGCTTGCTTGTTATCTCTTTAACTCTATATTTCATCATTTCTATCTAGGATGGTGATATATCTAGATTGGTCGGCTAACCCTGTTATCATCATTTATTCTAAGGTGGTGATAGTTGTATCCTTAGAGTGATTAGCATTCTATCCGGTGATCCATTCATCCATCTTGTCCATACCTTTTCCGCATAATAATAATAATAATAGTAATAATAAGAACAGTAGTAGTAGTAATAATAATAGTAATAATAACAACAGTAATTATAGTAGTAGTTGTAATACTAATAATACCAATAGTAATCATAATACTAATGATGATGATGATGATAAGCACCCTTGCAACATAGATGAATTAGAAAATTGCTTGTTTGATATTCTTAATATTCAAAAGACCAGTTACAATCATTGTTTCAGATGGGGTATAGGCTGAAATGAACCCAACTTATGTCCAACAAGTTTCAAGAATTGCATGAGAAGTGTAAAATATAAGTCCAAGAAGTATATGATGAGTATTTTAAACTTGAATATGTGTTATATAATTGAGTACACATTGGTACCAGTGTATGCAAATATCCAAGGAGTGTCCACCAAAGTTTTGGTGTTGTGTTGGGTATGGATACGGCTTCCAATAGAAGTACCCATGCAACATAGATGATAAGTAATATTTATCTTAGCATTCTTTCTAAAGATTATGATGTATTTGATAAGTTATGAAAGCTTACTTTGTTACAGTGGATGTATCAGTTGCTTGCCATATTCGCTTGGCACAACGATGCAGTGTAATGTCGAAGTAGGAAAATTTTCTATCAATGACTTTTTTTTTGGCAGTTGAAATACCTTCAGATATTGGAAAACTAGTTAGCGCACAGCGTCTGGTGAGTCTTGCTTTGTTCAGGTTTTGTCAATCTATTTTGTTCATGTCCTTTTGTAAATTCTGTTAGTGTTTATTTATATTATCATGTTCTCTAACCATGACAAAGACTCCTAGAAGAGTCTCCTAACTTACTAGTCATTTTTCATATTCAGGTTTTGGCCAGTAATCTAATTGAGAGGCTGCCGAATAACCTTGGGAATCTTCGGTCATTAAAGGTCCTCACACTTGATGGAAATCGGCTTAGAAACTTACCTGATGAATGTAATGTCTTTCTTATGGTGCATAAAATACTTACTATATACATTTATTTCGTCTTTGATTTCAACTTGAAACATCTTACTGATTGCACGATCTGCTTCCTCTGATGCAGACTAACTAACAACTAAATAGGACTGTTTTATATCAATTTGACCATTGTCTGAGCATAAGATTTAGTCCTGTTGTTTGCGCTGGGATATCTAGCTCAGGTGTTCTCCTTATCATGTTTTTTTCTTCTCTTTGTCCAGTAGGTGCCCTTTCCAGACTGGAGCAATTGTCTATCACCAACAATATTTTGATATGCTTGCCCAATACAGTTGGGCATCTGCATAATGTGAGTATTTCACGAATAAACTAGTTGATCTTAGAGTAACCTTACATTATTAAAGTTTTCTGAACACTTATCTTTAGAAATTACCTCTTTTTTCATGAGCATTCTATTTAGAGCTATTTAGGAAGGTTTTTCAGTTTTTCTTTTTTCTGATTCTGGATTTTGGGCATGTTTGGTTACTTGAATGCTGATGACCAGTTTGACTCCTACTTTAGCAGACATTTTAATACTTCTATAGTGTTAGTATTCTCATGGCATATTTAGGATAAATGATCTGTTATTATTGATTTATCTGTGCTTAATCATGCAAGGGGTTAGAGTTGACATAGTTACTTTCCATAGGTGTGCATGTGCACATGTGTAATCTTTTCAATAAGATTGTTTACGAAATTATCTGTCAAGATTTAACTAGACCAACATTTCTTTACTGTTGATTAGATTTACCTTTTCATTCTTCATGTGTCGGAACATTTTAGAGTTTGTAGCAGATTTTTGCTTGATTTTATAACAATCACTATGAAAATGTTCTCAAATAGCAACATTTTTAATTTCATATATCAACAATTTTAAGGCCTTGCTATATGGGCAACCAACATTTGCAAGAACGTTGGTATCGGAAGCGTGGATACCATGTGCCCACATTTTCTTGCAAACAATGGCATGATGCCAACATTTGCAACAAGATGTGGGCATTTGCCTGCACTCTGACAAACGTTGGCATCTGGTGCCAACGTTTGCAGCAAAACATATGCATTTTCTCAGGTTCTTTTGCAAATGTTGCACCGGATGCCAATGGCTACAGAGGTTTTTTGCTAACTGCCACTCTACTAGCAGCTTTTTCTTTTTACACTCAAAATAATATATAACGCAAATATAGAAATAGTTAACAAAACATATTTTTTCTCTTTTCACAAATTATACACAACTATTATGTTCCATACAAATATCTCAGTTCGAAGTCAAAGATGATAAATATTCCCAACTAAACATTGAATAGCAGATATATACTAAGTCAAACTAAAATTCTGATCAAATTCATTGAATAGCTAACCATATCAGGGCAAATGATTGTTAGCTTGACTCATTTTAACTTGTGACCAAATCAACCTCATTATCTCAACAACATAATTTTTGTTGAGAGAACATCATATAGTCGTCGAGGTCGGAGTTGATCTGAATCTGCAAGCTCAGTTTAGGGAGGCTAGCTAGGATCTTGTCGGCTTCTAGAGAATCCACATTTCTAGAAGTAAACTTCAATTGGATCTGGGTAATTCAAAGTAGAGATGCTACATTTCTAGAGAATCTAGATGAAGAGGAACAAGTTCAAGAGGAACAAGTTCAAGAGGAAATAGAACCTCAAACCGTAATAGACGGTGATTATTATAGTGATTTTCCCAGTAATGGTCCAGATGGTATTCTCTCAACGAAAACCATGTTGTTGAGATAATTGGGTTGATTTGGTTACAAATTTGAGTAAGTCAAACTAATAGTTATCCAGGTGCATCTTTTTGGCTCTCATCCCTCACATGACTTCTCTGTTTGTTCCTCTCCCTCTGCTATTCTCGTGAAGTATCTGTAGCCTACAGCCATTTTACATGAATTAGGAGTAGCTGAAGCCATCATCTAAGCACAACACTACAAAAAAAAGAAGAGTTAGGGGCAATTATTTTCGTCACTTTTAATTCAATTAGAGGCAAATAAATGGAATTATCTGCCTCTAATTATATGAGTGGAAAATCTCGTATCCGCACCTAAATGTGGTGTTGCTAATAGTTAATAGGGGCAATATTGCACAAACTTCCACCCCAAATACTCAATGCGCCACCTCAGCAGTTTTATTTGAAAAAGTATTAGAGGCAAATATAATCGCCTCTAATAACTTATTAGGTGCAGATGTAAATGCCCCAAATAGTTAGAATTAAAATAAATGTATTAATTTAAGGTACAAATATAATTGCCTCTAATAACTTAAATTTGATATTAATATTTTTATTTTTTAATAAATCTGGAAAAAATAATTAATTTTTAATTCATATAATTAAATTGAAAAACAAACATAAAATAATTGAAACATGAATAATTTTGATTAATAAGAAGTCAATCCAATTTGATTACATAATAATGTACCAAAATTGCTTTAAAAGCGTGTGACAAATAGTACTTAACAATAACTTAAAATAACCAACAAAGTTGACCTTCAACATGAATGTAAAAATATCTAACTTTTATCCCCGCCATTCCTATCATTTAGTGGCATCATCTGCTGCATAAAATCTGAATCATTGAGCATTGCTGTAAACTCTCCAGGTGGGTGTGGCACTGGGCGGTACAAAGGTGGCTGGTATGGATGAGGGTAGTAGAACTGCGAAGATGATGTATACGGATACGGTGGAAGATGGTGATATGGAGGATATGGGTACGATGTCGGAGTGTGCTGGGAAGGTGAGTGTTGTTGGGAAGGAGATCGCGAACGACGATGCTGCTACATAAGCTTGTTGCATTAGTTCTGATGTTTCCTCGCCATGGGTTTCAACCAAACTCATTAATTCCCGTGAGATCTTAACCTGAAAAAAAGAATTCACTTCAACAGCCAAAATGGACACAGTATGAAGTAAAGCAATTTTTTTACATGTATTACTTGTCTAAATACAAATGATTAAATTTCAAACTCACCGCCAATTCCTCCGATGCATCATCTATCCAACTTTTGTTTTCATCTCGCCATTTGTGCACTATATAAAACATCTCAATAGGATCGGGTTTGCGACCATGTTTTTGCTCCTATTTGTAAAACACAGAAAAACAATCTGCAAAGGATTGGATAATACCATGACAAACTGCAAAGCAACTTTTTATCGGTGAACGGTAAAAGAGACATTTTTAAAGTTTGAAAGAGTTAGAACATTTAATTCAAGTCAAATTTTACCACTCAAACTATAACACTGACCTCGGTCATACCATAGCGTTCCAAAAGGCGGTGACCTGTTACAGCTTCCCGTTGCTTCAGAACAGGATATGGAAGTGCAGATGACCCACCCATCTAGGGAGAAGCAATTAGGAATTCAATGATAATACTATAAAATATGGGTCTAAATATTCAAGATTAACATAAATTAAGAAAGTCTTCTGCAATATGTAATCATTATAGAAGTATTAAAGTGCTTGAAATTCAGTAAACAAATCGGGAAAAAATGCATCACGGCATAAATTGCATGGATACTTCATTCCAGGACATTACCTACATCTGGTGCATATGTGATGCTGAGACAGTGAGATGCATAATGGATTCTCCTAGACATCCTAAAATTCATAATGTGAATCTGAATTTTAAGCGGAAGATTGTAATTCAAATGGCCTTATAGTGGCATGTTGATTAAACAAAAGATAAGGCATAACAAATACCAGTTGAAACAGTATGACAGGAAAGTAACTTACTTTTGCCTCTCTTCATATCATGTTTGGGGAACAATGTTTTTTACCCTTCTTGTTCCCCACTCACCACCAAATTGATAACAATCTTTTCCATTAACAAACAGCCACAGATAGTCAGTTGTTAGACATCCAAACTAGTTGTTTCGCTAAGAACCAACACGAACCACAAAACAATAAGTTTCAAGTATATGGATCAGCATGCAGATATCAATACACATAGGGTACCTTGGGAATATCGGATATGCCTTTAATTTAATACTCTGCATAAAAAGTCCCTGATTTTTTTTATATGCCTTTAGTTTAACACTCTGCACCAACCATGAAATCTTCTACAAGTGTATTCATTGGAATCATGAAGAACCTCTCTAGAATCCTAGAAGAACCTTTGTGGAGGAGAAGAAATGATATTTGAAGGTTACATGGTTGAATTCAAGTATTGACCCCAGGCAAAGAAACATACTATTAACTTTCAGCCAACCAGAGTAAAAGTTCAATCTATTACAACTACTATGATTCCAAAATTTTAATTTATATTCTAGAGGAACTAACATGATCCTCCTTCAAAAGTTATTGCTAGAACTTTCTACCAATTTTGAAAGAAAACCATGGCAAGTTCAAATGATTCTAATTGATGTGGAAACCTTCAAAGGTATTCAACCTAACCATCCGTCGAGGTGATCAGTTAGCAAAGACATTTTGACATAATTGGGAAACTCATAAGTTTATTTAAAAAAGGTCATGGTAAATAATAATTCAAGCTCATAACCACAATTAACATTATGACAACAGCCATCACTATCATGAGTTGATAAGAACTACTGCATTGACATACAACCCAACATTAGGCTAATCAAAATATAAATTCAATTACAAAGTGCAAAAGGAAACTATCCAAGTGAGCTAGTTACAAATCCTAGAAGCCTTGTTGGCTAATAGGAAGATGGTACCTTATTAGGCATGGAGTTTAAGCTCAAGCATCAATAGAGCAGCACTTGAAATTTGAAAAATCTCCTAGAGTAAGAATCTATAACAAGGGGAAAGAAATGGATCTGCCATAGCTAATTGCATACAACTCCAAAGCACAACACAAATTGAATAAAATCAATTGCCACAACAGAAATCTCTATCTCAAGTAACCCTATTTCATATTTTCTCCAACCTTAAAAGTCAAATTCATCCCATGCATGTCTGATCTCTGTTCATGTACTAGAAGAAACAAAAATATATATATAGAAACAAACTCTGTTATTTTATCCAAGCCATTCCTAGTGCATAAGTTCACTTCCTTCAGAAATACCCAATATGTAATAACAGAGCTAAGTCACCACCTTCCTTCCAACCAAAGCAACATATATTGTCCAATGATCCTATACAAATTTCCCAAGCAGTCCAGTTTACCGAAATCTCTCATATGACACTTTAATAGGATTTGTAATGTCCTTTAGGAACCCAGGGTACAATGTTATCTGTCTCAGCTTAAATTAAACATGGAAATAAGCTGGTTGCTGACACTGAAAGATTTTGAAGAACAAAATGAGATAAATGTGGTTACCACAATGTTTCTCCCATCAAGTACAATCCTAGCACCACTTTCAATGCCACTTTGTATCAAACTGCAAATGCGATCTTTTGCCTGTTAATTCAAGGCAGGCGACAAAAGAAGTTTGCAGAAGTATACGTTAGTAAGGAATTGCATAAGGAGAACTGAAACAAAAAACTAGTATTCTGCAGCTTCACCTGTTTGCTAATAACTGGACCAAGGTCTGTCCCAGGCTCAACACCAGCATTTACTTTCAGGGCACTGGCACGTTTAGTTAATTCTTCCTCCCTAAAAACCAGACATTTTCAGAAGACTCACTAAGGCGTTCGATAAAATCCCAAAATCGATTCAATTACAAAATTTAAAGGGAGAAACGACAGAGCAGCACCTGAAAGATTGAGATGGCGGCGGTGAACTCTGACGGAGATGTTGTCGATGAGATGGCGGCGGTGAGATGACGGCGAACTCCGATGAGATGTTGCCGATAAGGTCCCGACTCCCAAAATCGCTGCTTTGAATCGTGGAGAAGAGAGAGGAACAAGACAGAGATGTTATCGATGACATGGCGGCGGTGAACTCCGACGACAGCGGTGAACTCCGACGGCACGGGGTTTGGGGGAGAGAGAGAGAACGGGGGATTTGGGGATTTCTGATGAGAGAGAGAACGGGGTATTTGGGGATTTCTTTAGAGAGAGAGCGCTTTCTTTAGAGCACGGCATTTATTTCCTCTTTTTCGCGAAAATAAACGGGGGAAATTTCCCTCCCAAACATTTCGGCGACACAGATGAACAAAAGCGGCGTCAAATTACATTAGGAGCGGATATATATATGCCACTATTTAGTTCAAATTACTTAGTTTGACGCCTCTATTATTTTCAATTCACGCCAAACTTGTAAGGGTATTATAAATCGCCCCAAATAATAGTAATAGGCACATATTCAACATCTGCACCTAATTCATAATTAATAGGGGCAAACCACTATTTCTGCCCCTAATAGATCGCCCCAAATACTCACTTTTTTTGTAGTGCAACAAAATCATCTTTAGACAAATAAAGCCAATGTACCAACTAAAGATAATGTCAACTTGATGCTACACCAAAGAACAGATGCAAGACAACATAATCTCTAACTGTGACAAACTAAAAAGCAATACAAAGTTGAAGCTAACTGATGGTTACATTTCTCCATCAAACATGGACGGAAGCTAAACAGCCACATTTTATAAATATTGAGATAGCTTCACATATCAAACAAGCAATTATCTGAAAAAAAATTAGGAGGGTATCAGCTTGCTGAAAGAAAAATGCTCAGTTGGAAATCAATTCCAATTTCAAAGATAAGTACTCTTCGATATCATAGTTCCAAAAAATTATTACACTGAAATATATAACGATAAAAATACAAGAAATATTTTTTTATACCTCTCTTTGTAGAAATATTTCAACCAAATAATAAGATGACCCTAGATCACCTCTCTATTCTAAGTAGGTAAAGACTTTGATTTTGCAACCTAGCGTTGAATGCAAATTCTTCTATGAAATTGATAACTTCATCCTTCTAGGCCTTTCATTTTACAAGATAACTTTTATCTGCTACTTGTCTATAGGAGCTCAACTGCAAGATCACTAGAAAAGCTTTTTTTTCCTGCCAGGCTGCCAATACCAACTAGTCCTAAGATTTTCATGGGAGCCTCTCTTCAATATTTATCTTTACCCTAGTCCCTGGAATTTGACACCGATATATAGGGTCCACATAAAGTTGAGAACCAGCCATAAACGTTTTCGATATCTCCATGTAGCCTGTGCTTCTAGCCAACCAAATCACCGTAACAATCTTAAATGTTGGACTTTTGTTCTTGTACTATTATCTTTTTGATGATACTGATTACACATATTACAGCTCCTTTCCACATATGGCTTCCGTAACCATGTAAAGTAAAAGGTAATATGAGCAAATGAAGCGGCCATTGTAGAATAAGAGTGCTTTTTTTTTCTTGCTTTAGTTCGTTGGATGTTGAATTTTATGAGGGAAAATTGTTGAATTAAGGGGCTAAAAGAAATGGTTTTCTTCCATTTATGGGAGATTTCTTGAAACTGCTATATATTTTTATTTTACCATTATGACATCAGGAAAGTCCACAGTTTTTTTTAAATTTTATTATGATGACATATTTAATCGATCTCATACTTTTTATTATTAAGATAGATTTTATTTTATACAAGGTTCCCGAACATTTAAGATGGTCATCAGTTCGTTATGGAGTTCCATTTTCGTGTCCAAATTTTCAAACTCATTAGTATCTGATGTGGTTCAGCTACTGTGCATCTCATGCTAAATTTCTTTATCTTGCTGCAGCTGCTGATATTAAATGTGTCCAGTAACAAGTTAAAGTCACTTCCAGAGTCAATTGGGGGTTGCACCTCCTTGGAAGAATTTCAGGCGAATGGTAAAACACTCCTCTTTAAACTTTTCCTATACTTTACCTGCGGCTTTATAGCTTGAGAACTGAACCCATTCCCTTTTTCTTTGTAAGGTAAAATTGATTTTAATACCTGATATAACCTTGAAAGTATGACTTAAGGGCCCTTAATCTGCACTGTTCATAATAATATGATTCTACAGGGTTTTCAATTTCAAAACTTGAGACTTTGTTTTGATGAAGTTAAAACTTGTTTCTTTGTTGACTGTGTTTTTCTGCATTGCAATTAAAACTTCTCTCTCATAATTCAGTCTTTAAACTCTGGAAAAGTGTTTATAATCTTCACTGTTCCCTAGTATATTCTTGTTCATTTTAGGAATGCTATACTTTTATCTTAGTTTAAAAAAAAGAATTTAAATACTTCTATCTTAGTGTGTTATTGTGTCATGCGCTTGCCTTTTTCACCATGATTTTTTATATTAAATTTTTCCTGCAGACAACTTAATAGAGGAACTACCCCTATCAATTTGCAATCTCATTCATCTGAAATCCCTCTTTTTGAACAAGAATAACATGCATCAGGTATGTGATTTATGATTGATTTAGTCTCTAGCCATTTTGCAAGCAAGACTTCACTTCGCTCTGATACTATCTTCTTCCATGGGTCATATATTGCATAGCTTAGCGTGAAACATATTGAAAAATTCTAAAATCTAATATGAACAGGTTCAGTATATTGATTTTTTTTTAAATGTTCTTCAGTTGCCCCAGAATCTGCTGAGAGGCTGTAAAGCCCTGCAGAATCTCTCTCTTCATGACAATCCCATTGCCATGGAGCAGTTCCAGCAGGTTAGCCCTTTTCCATTTTTCTTTACCTCCCCTACTTTATTGTTATTTTTTATGTGGAGGGCTCTGAAATCCTTACCAAGCTCTTTGATCTAAAGATTTGGCTTGTTATATGCTTGTAGATGGATGGTTTCCTGGAGTTTGAAGCACGGAGAAAGAAGAAATTTGACAAGCAAATTGATTCCAATGTTATGATGAGCTCCACTGCATTGGATGAGGGACTTGATCTATGAGGCATTCCACCATTTTTCATTGCATTATTCATGACATGCGTTTCACTCGTAATATAGATGTCATTCTCGTAAAAAGTGAAGTTTCCATGTATAAATAATTATTTGCAAATTCAGTGTTTGTAGCACCCATCTCCTCATCGATAAATACTTATATGCAAATTCAGTGTTCATAGCACTCATATCATCCCAGAGCTAGCCTTGTAGTGACAAATATGGGAAGTAACCACTTTTGAGCCTGATATACCGGTATTTTCTTCAGTAACTTGAGTGTTAATCTCATGTCATTAAGCTTTTCAACTGATATTTACTATTTACGAACACTAGTTTGAGTATCAAAGAGTCTATCTCATGTCATTAAGCTTTTCAACTGATATTTTACTATTTACGAGCGGAGCGGGTGTCGGGGTGGCTGGGAGTTGCAGTATGCCTGTGTTGTGGGAGTTAGTGGTGCGCGCGGTGTTGTATTTCAGGCTCGCCGAAGAAGTGATTTCGTAGGCAGGAGGACACTAGTTCTGGAGGTATAGATTCTGGTACAATGATTATCGTTGGCCAACACACCGGACCACCCCTATTCATAGTTGCCCCGGCACGCCATGGAACTGCAAGGGAGTAATGCGGGCTCCACCTATCCCAACTCCCCCCCCCCGGGACCACCCCCCCCACACCCCCGCCAAACACCACATAGCCTACACGGCCAACCAACCAAAAAAAACTTACTAACGTTATTACGTGATGCAATTTGCTTATCACCGTAGTAGACCGACTTCTAGTAAAGTACCTTGTTCCTTATAATGCCATCAATCTCGTCATCGTCAAGCTCTAATTTATGCTGCTTGGATCTTATTACATCTTTATGAGACGAGCTCTTTTTCCCCCTTGTTTTTCTTGTAACAAGAGATGGGAGAGCCACTTATCGGGAACATGCTATCTGCCTGTGAGTTCATTTTCAAGAAATATAGGAAACCGCGATTTCCTAGTGAAAAACTTTCCATATATCCATAGGTTTCTTAGATAATTAAGTGTTTTTTTAATTTGTTTCATGCTAGGTTCAGATGTGGAAACATGTTGAGCTTGAATCTTCAGTTTGGGTTAAACCTCCAGAATAGAAAATCAACATTTGGAAAAGGAGAGAGAATCCCTTTTTAGGTTGTCATCAGTGTCTCAATATATGCCATATTTGGTAAAGAGTTAAAGGAAGAGAGATTAAAAAGAAGGATTAACGTAGTTAGCCCATTCAATAACCCGAAATACTAAATTATTAACCCATTAAATAAGTTTTATTTTAGCCTTTGTAATCATTTTTAGTGTTTGGGAAGAACGAGGATTTTGATTATTTTCTTTATAAATAGAGGGCTCAACAATTAATCCTTCTAAATAGAAGTATTAGTAAACCCCTTATTTTGAGAGGTTAACTCATCTTAATCCCTCCAGCTTAACTCTTCTATATTTTTCGCATTTGGCAAATTATAGAGGTTGACTCATTTTAAACATTGTATAGATTTTTTTTTGTTTAGCGGGTTAAGAAGGATTTAAGGACACTTAACCCCTCACGTGACCCATTGCCAAACGGCACATAAGTGTCTTAATAAACAACAACTTTCCAGCTTATTTCCGAGCAAATAGCGTTTCCTAACAAATAAAGAGCTAAACACGTCATCAGGAAACTGTTTTTGCCAAATCTTTTTTTACAGTTGGTGTGTTAAGAGGGGCTTCCACACATTTTCTGAGGTTTCCAGGTAGTGTAAGAAAAATTCCTCAAGGACCCAAAATATGGGACCAATAGAGGGGACAAGTGAGGTGTCCCCCTCCTATTGGATAATGAGTTGGCCATCATTAATGATGGCCAACTCATTATCCAATAAGAAGGGGACACCTCACTTGTCCCTTTTATTGGTCCCATATTTTGGGTCCCCGTAGCAAAACTCGGTAGTGTAATTAGCTCCTAATCAGCAGCACTTTCAATAACCTATGATTGCCGCTAGGGCAAATTCATCCCATGTATACGCTTATCCGTAGATATGTACATATCTACATCCATATCATGATAAATATAAATATTAAATATGTCTAGCCGGATATAGTAATGAACATATAAGCAAAATATTTGTGTTCATATTTGAATATCTGAATACATGTATCGACAAGAAAATCGAAATTATTTTGATCTTTATTAGATTAATATAACTTGAGGCCATTTTTTATGATTCAAAACTGTAAACGTAGCTATTGAGATAAGTCAAACATATCAATGGACTCTTATTTAAGAAATTTACTATATTTTATAACGTCTTTAACACTAGCTATATATTTTTGAGTTTCATCTAAATCTCCTTGTATACGTTTTATATCTGTATATGTTTTTCCGCTGTTCTGTATCGTTGTCCAAATTTGGCGGATGTGAACAAAGAGTTTACTTTATTGAACCCTATTCATATTTGTATGTTTTTTGTACTTGCAACGCTATTTGTATTCGTATTCATTTATGTGATTATTAGTTTTGGCAGAAAAGAATAGAGAGTTTACTTTATTGAACCCTATTTATACTTGTGTGTTTTTTGTAGTTGTCACGCTATTTGTATTCGTATTCATTTATATATGTGCTTATTAGAATATTAGTTACTTGGATTAATCCCCCCCTCCCCCGATTTTGGAGGGTGCTGCACATTACCCCTCTTAATTTCATTTGTCTCATGTAACTCCCCTAATCTTTTGAGTGTCTCACAACACTCTCATGAACTTTAATCTTCTCTCACGGTACCGGACATCCTATATGCAATGAACAAATAATTAAGATTTTTTTTGAAAAGATAATCTAAAAATTAGGAGAGGGATATGTGATAGATCTTATAAAAAAACTTGAGATCTAAACCATAAAGCCATGATTAATTCAAAGAGATTTACAAGAATCAAAAGAAAAGAGCGGAAGCTTATACCTGAATCCATAGATTAAACTTGAGATGAGTTTTGGATCTTCTAACCTTAGGGTTTCTCTAGCCAAATTTCTCTCTAGATGGGGGTGAAGAGAATTAGAGAATGCAACCCTAGATTAGGGACCATAACCCCTAATTTATAGATGTTGTATATTTACAATTTGGCCCCTCATCAAATCACAATTACAACCTGGTATCTGCACATATAACCCCATGATTATATTTAAATACTCATTAACCCAAATTGATTGATCACTTTAGTGGGTTATCCTGAAGGATAGCAATACACACAGATTAATCATATGTGCCCACAAATAGATTTAATTAGATTTAAATCCAACAATATGTTGTATGTAAGTGAGTAATCAGAAAGTTCAAAATTTTTCTTTCAATAGCATTTTAGTTATTTGAAAATTTCGCATAAGAGGGACAGGCGAGATATGTCAAAGTTCGGGGATGTTTCATGGGACACCCCAAAGTTCAGCGGGATTATGTAATATAAACAAAATTCATAAAGGTTAAGTGCAACACCCTCCAAAGTTTAGGGGGTCATGTGACATTAACGAAAGAAGGTTAAAAAACTTATTAGTAGTAAGTGCTTGTCCACTAGCCGATCACACCTAGAGGGTGACAATTTATGATCCTAATCCGCTGACCCGACCCAATTTGACCCGTTATAAATAGGTATAGGTAACTTTATATTGATCAGGTTACAAACAGATTGTCTCAAAGAACCCATTTATTAATCGGGTCATAAACAGATCAACCCACTGACCTGTTTACCCTAAATAAAAAAAAAAGTTTTCACCAAAGCTAAAAAGCCAAATGAAAATTTCTTTACCTTTGTTTTGTTTACCCTAAATAAAAAAAAATTAGAAACAATTTGCTTAAGGCATCTACTTATAGATTGTTTTTATTTTTTAAGGTTGTATTTGTATTTAATTAGAAGGAATCACCAAAGTAAAATTGAGCATTTTGATTTTGGCACACACCTGAAAATATTTTTAAGGCAAAAAAATCAAATCGAGATAAGCCGAATGATTTCATCACCCTTTCCTTGGCCCAAAAATCACTTAATTTTTCGCTACACAAATCCAAGCCTTAAAATTCATTAGATGTTGACCCCTAAGGATTTGAGCTCAATAGAAAATAAAGATTTTGTGAGAGGTGAATCTATTCTAGTCTCAATTTATTTAGTTAGAACCCAAGGAAAGAGGTTAGAGTGGCAAAAGTGCTTGCAATAAAAGATGTCACTTAATTGGCACCCGAGTCATGCTCAGGAAGTGCCCCTCTGGACTTATTCTTACATGGTTAACTGATTAAGTGAACTAAGAATTGGTATGGCCTAAACGAGTCTTTGATTAGGTGGTGGTCTAGTGGAGTTTAGGCTTAACCCTAGAAATTAGGAGCGATTAATAGAGTAGTTCATCTTTTGATTTATTTAATTATGTTTTTTCTTCCTCCTTTTTCTTTTTCAAACTCTTTTAGATCATTTTAGCTTTTTCCTAAAAAAAGAATAAAAAGAGAAAAAAGTTCTTTTTCGGTCTTTTTCTTAGGCTTTATTAAAATACATAAAAAGGTTTTCATTAGTGTATGTAAGTTTAGATTTGGAATAATACAAAATGTTTAGTCCAGATAAAGTTAAATTAAAAGATATGGTTAATCCTAATCCACCCGTATTTTAGAATATGTTCTATCCTACTAGGAACACAATCCCATCTTTGATTAGACTTTCAGATATTAATGGTGTTAATTATGAGCTTTGACCTCACTTAATAAATATATTTTCCAAATATTTAGGAAATGAGTCTGAAGATGCTTATATTTTTTATCTAAGTTTGAGGAAAGTTGACCTATAATAAAAATTAGAGAGTTATTTGAGGTTGCAATTAAGCTTAGATTTGTCCCATTTGCGATGAAGGATAAGGATAAGAAATGATTGCTTAGCTTAGCTACAAATTTTATCTCCACTTGGAGTGGCTTTGTTATCTTTTTTATGAAAAATTCTTCCTGATTTATAAGACGACAAGACTTAGGAACAAAATTCAGACTTGTAAAAAAATTCTTAGGGGAACCATTCTGAAAGTAATTTGATAGATTTAAGAATCCTTTTATCCAATGTTCTCATCTTGGTTTAGAAAAGTGATGTTTATACAAAATTATCTATGAAGGATTGTATTATTTTTCAAAGACATCCTTAAAATCTATATGTTAAGGGCATTTCATGAAGAAAAATAC